CCGAGACGAGCACGTGACACCACTGCCACCCTGTCTTAGCGTAACGCGAGTCGAGGCGGACGTCGTCGCGGTAGCGACGACGGACGCCGAGACGAGCACGTGACACCACTGCCACCCTGTCTTAGCCTAACGCGAGTCGAGGCGGACGTCGTCGCGGTAGCGACGACGGACGCCGAGACGAGCACGTGACACCACTGCCACCCTGTCTATCTTAGGGTTACGCAAAATGATAGAAAGTGACAGAACGAAATGTTTTTGTTTTTCATATGTTGTCATGAATTTTCAAAAAATATTCATGATTTCCAGAAAAATCACAAATTCAAAACTTGTTCCGAATTTTTGAAAATGTGTTTTTTTACTTTGGTAATTTTGTCATTAATTTAAAAAAAAATCATAGTAGATCTATTTAATGATCATTCTAGTTTCAACCAAAATGTTGTAGATCAATTGAATTGAGCATGCTATTTTTTCTTAATAAGAATATATTTCATGGACAAATTAGATCTAAGAGAATTTATTTTTGTGTGCACAAGTAGCAATTAATTTTGGTTGAAAGTCATAGTTTATTTCAATTAAAAGTGTAATTTCCCGCCCACAACTGTCCCTGAAAAACCGCTGGCCCAGAAAGGGAATAGGTGAAATAGGAAAATACAGGCCCAAAAGAAACAATATGGAAAGGGAATAGAGCCTAGGGGTGGTATTGGGCCAGCGCTGGGCCAAAGTCACGAACAGGTAGAGCGCTCTCACAGCCAGAATCGATCGAGAAAGGGAATAGGACTGCGCTCCGGTTCGCTGAATTGTCGTTTTGCTGTCGGATCGGCCTGGTCGGCAATCGAGCGCGCCGGCTGGGACGCGCGCGCGCGCGCTCGTTAGCCACGTTTTTTTGTTTTGTTTTGTTTTAACAAGATCAATACTACTAGCATGTTTGATCTGAACAAACGTATGTATTGCTGAGTAACAAACCTCCGATAACTACCTGAATGCATATTAGCTTTTGCTTGCCTTGTGACTGACTTGTGCAAAGTGCTAATACAAGAAGCATGGTTTTACTACAGCTAACGATGGTGATCCAGGAGACCCTCCGCCTGTACCCGCCAGCCTCCTTTGTCACGCGGGAAGCTCTGGAGGACCTGAACCTTGGCGGCATCGACATCCCGAAAGGCACCAATATCAGGGTTTCGATCATGCTGGCTCACCGGGACCCTTCGGCATGGGGCGCCGACTGTGACAAGTTTGATCCGGGAAGGTTTGGCGGAGGCATAGCACGCGCCTGCAAGCCCCACCACATGTACATGCCGTTCGGCGTGGGTCCCCGGACGTGCGCCGGCCAGAACCTCGCCATGGTTGAGGTCAAGGTCGTGCTATCGCTGCTGCTGTCCAGGTTTGAGTTTGCGCTCTCGCCGAGCTACGATCATCGACCCGTGTTCAGGTTGACCGTGGAGCCCGGGAGCGGCGTGCCGCTGATTCTTAGGAAGCGATGAATGATGGTCCGTTCATCGTTTCTGAGCTGTTGCTTGTTGTTTACTGTCGATGTCTGACAGGGAGGAACGGCTGGATGTTGACTGTAAACACTTGTTAGTATGTTATACTACTGTGCATGAGAGTAACAATTCTTGTCACTGCACTTTTTCGTTTTATCTGGCTTCTTCGGTCAAATGATCCTAATCCTTCAACTTCGTACTGTAGAAATTTGTCCTAATACATCCGGACTACATTTCTTCAGAAATAGTAATTCCTTGACTTCGACTTATTGAAAAGACACCTACCTTTACACATGGTGCAAAATTTGGGCGTATCAAATATGGTACGATCAAGAAGGCGTCACTTTGCATCTTGTTGTGCGTATTTTCCGAATCCTTCGTGTTGTATATATAAACAATTTACACTCTCTTATAGGATGCTTAAGGGCTTTGCAAAAAGATGCAGAAGATCAGATTGGCTTCCCTGTCAGCTACAGCAAGGCTAGGCGTGCGAAGGAAAATATATTCAAGAACTTGTATGGAACCTATGAGGAGGCCTATTCTTATGCCCCCAGAATGCTTCATCAGATAGCAAGTGCTAATAGGGGGATTCAATTTTGGCGGAGAGAACGTCAGAACCCAAAGAACCCGGCTGAGCTAATCCTGAACCGCTTATTCTGGGCATTCGCCCAGACTATACAAGCCTTCAGGCACTGTCGCCCGGTATTATCAGTCGATGGTACCTTTCTCACTGGAAAGTACAAGGGCACACTATTGGTGGCGATTGCAGCAGATGCAAATAATCAGCTTCTTCCTATTGCATACGCACTGGTCGAGAGCGAGAACAAAGATAGCTGGTTGTGGTTCCCGAGCTGCGTGAAGATGGGTGTCGTGAAAGAGCGTTCAGGTGTTTGCATCATCTCTGATCGCAACACAGGATTATTAAGTGCTCTCGACATAATTAAACAGTCGTCAGAAGAGTGGAGGTGGCCTGATCTAGAGGGAAGGTGGTGCATGCGGCATTTGGCAGCAAACTTTTACTCCAAATTCAAGAATAAGGATTGGTTCAAGTTATTCAAGAGGATGTGCATGCAGAAAACTCAAGCCAAAATGAATGCCATCTGGGCAGGTATCAATGGTGAGATCGAGCGCGCTGCCTTGCCGCAGAGAGAAGACCGGAGGGGTCGAAGGACGGCCATAAATTTGAGCCAGTGGATCAGCGAGAATTGCCCTGATTTGTCCAAGTGGGCGCAGGCTCACGACACCGGGGCTCGGTATGGAATAATGACCAGCAACATGTCAGAGGTGTACAATGGTGTTCTTAAAGGGGTGAGAGCCTTGCCTATCACAACCCTAATTGAAGAAACATGGAACCGAACATTGTCATACTTTGCAGACAGGGTTACCGTGGCTAAAGCACAAGTTGAATTGAACAAGCCATGGTCCGAGAAGATGCAAAGACATCTGGACGAGAAAGCAAAGAAGTCCCAAAGCCATGGGTGCAGGAAAGTGGACGCACTTAGGAATAAGTGGGAGGTCAATGTGCGAGCCAAGTACGTTAAGGGTCACCACAGAGGATCCAAAAAGCAAGCTGTCACCCTCGGCCCAACGTCATGTGAGTGCACGTGTAACAAGCCCAAGCTTGAGGGCTACCCTTGTAGTCATGTGCTCCGGGCGGCTGCAGATCAAAAAATCAGTGTTGAGCCATACATATCACCGTACTTCAACATGTACAATCTGTACAACACTTGGAACGGTGAGTTCTGGGCCTGGGGCATTGATATGAACTACAAAATGTTGTGGCCAGATGGGCCAAAATGGGTTCCGAACGCCGAATTGATGAGAACCGCCAAGGGACGACGTCAGTCTAGGCGTCATCGCAATGACATGGACCATAGGCAGATGGGAGAACCAAGGCGATGCCGCGTTTGTAGGTGTCCTGGATATTCACGTAGGGAATGCCCGTATCGAGCGAACAACACCGCATGATGTGTTATTGTATTTATATTTATTTTAAATTGAATCTCTTTGTATTATTGTACCTGTGATGTTAACTTCAGCTAATTAATGTAAATTATATCTCTTTGTACTATTGAATCTCTTTGTATTATTTACTCGTGATGTTAACTTCAGCTAATTAATGTAAATTATATCTTTTTGTACTATTGAATCTCTTTGTATTATTGTATTTATATTTGTTGTACATTGAATCTCTTTGTATTTTTTTGTATGTTTGTGTGCAGGCTATGGCTGAAGTGCCGCGGCTTTTGGAGGGGCCCCATGACGCCGGCCACTGTTGCCATCTATTTTTGAACCCAAATAAAGAACATGATTATCGGAGTTTCAGACTTCGAACCATAAAGAAAACTTGGCCAATACACAATTATTTCATTCCTCACCTTGACGCTTATGGACTACATGCTTTTGCTAGGCTCACATCAAGCGAAGACCAATCCCAGTTACGTTCGGACCCATCCCTTTTGACATCCCTCGTTGACCGGTGGAGACCTGAAACCCACACCTTTCATTTTCGTTTTGGGGAGCTTGCACCTACACTGAAAGATGTTTCTATGATCCTTGCTCTGCCAATTAGAGGTGAGCCGTTAGTCTCTCCACGAGTGTCTAAAACTTGGGCACAAAATATATCAGACCGTCTTGGGATGACAATGCCAGAATCACAACGTACTGGTGGCCCTCGTGGCATCCCACTCACCTGGCTTCATGATAACTTTCTTAATATTTCTAGCTTCGCTGATTCTGAGACGAGGAAAAGACATTTGTTTGCGTATTTGTTGTGGCTCCTCGGGGTTATGTTTCCAAATTCACATGGGGACGTACTTCTCCCTGGTCTCATCTACATTGTGGAGAAGATAGTAGATGAACATTTACCCGAGCATCCAAAATACAGCTTCGGTTCTGCCATTCTATCTCATACATATAGAGGCTTGTGTGAGGCCACACAAAAAACTTCCTTCGCAAAAAAAACTCCATTACTTTGTGTCCCCTACGAGTTTCTACAGTTGTGGTCCTGGGAATACCTCCCTATAGGACGACCTCGTATAACAAATCCCATACACCCATACGACTATGGCGAGGGCAGCTGTGTAACTATGGCGAGCAGGTGGACAAGGGCACGGAAACATTGGTCTCCAAGTATTGCGAAAAATTGTTACCCTATATACCACCAGCAGTTTGAGGCACTTGATGAGTCTGTAGTCACATGGAACCCATGGACTCAGGAGCATGTATAGATGGTCTTTAATATACGACCCATCACACCAGGCATGTTGACTGATAGTGCATTCTGGCTGACTCACTGCTACTTATTGTTCATATGGTGTGTTGAGCCTTACAACCCAGAGCGTGTCATGAGACAGTTCGGTCTGTATCAGGAGATTCCACCACCTTTTCCAAGATGTACTGACGAGGAAACCCATAAGTAAGATGTGACCTCCCTAAATAGTTAGTGTCCTTTTTAATTTACTAAACTCACATTTTGTTACATAATTTGCAGGCTAAGCAATATGGGCCACGGTTGGAGTCTTTACGATTGGAGGGAGCGCAACATTCAATGGGTACAGAAGTGGGAAAATGACGCGCTAGCAGATATAGTGTATCAACTTAGGTACATTTATTTACATTTTATTTACATTATTCATCACAACGGTTGATGTTATAATTTGCAGACCGTACGATGGAAGTACAACTCAAGCGTACAAGCAGTGGTACTGCATCAGCACGCGTACAAGCCTGGCCGGTCAACCAGCTACGATACCAACAAATCTCACGCACGAGGAGCAGATGCAGAGACCTGTCGAGCTGCATGCAGCTTACTTTCATGACCGGGTGGTAATCACTAGTAATTTTTTCAGGTCCATCATTTCATAATCATTTCAACCAAATAACAACAAAATATTTTTTTCCAGCTTCAAACTGCCCACGATATAGGGCAGATGGCGACGGAAAGCATGCCGCCCAGGGCTGTCAAGTCATTCAATAAACGTGTTAAAGAATACATTGCAACAAAGTTGAGATGTGGTAGAGGCGACGACGTTGTCACTGGAGCGTACAACATGCCAGTACCGAGGTCAGCCAGACCAAGTGCGGCGCCGTTGTCCAGACCGAGCGAGGCGCGTACAAGCCATGGGCAGCGGGGGGAGGGTCCGAGTACTACAACGACATTGCCACGATATGACTCTTCTCTGCCACTACATGGCTCTTCTTCAGTGCTGCTTCGTCAGGGGCAAACATCGCAGGACCATGGCATGGGCTTGGATTCGATGCCCGAGCTGTATCTTTCCCCAAACCCATATGCATACACAGGATATGGCACATATACTCAAGGTGAGGGATCTCAGCCGTATCTCTTCACGCGAGGGATCTCCATGCCCGAGGAGACTCGTGTCCCAGATTTAAACCAGTACCAGGTAGAATGTCCAGACAGTACATGCGAGGGATCTGATCAGGTAGTCATGTTTACATTTTAATGCATTTACAGTGATATTACATATTATCCTCTAACAGATTTTGTTTACAATGTTTCTATGTGCAGGGCATACCTGATATAAATTGGAACGATGAGTACACCCAACCTGGCGACAATGTTTACGCTGTAGATACAGATTTCTTCAGAGAAGACGTTATTGGGCCATCTTTTATCCCCGAGAAGTCACAACAACCATACGCCTACAATTACACATCAGGTTCGCAACAAGGTTTACAGACTCCACCACCTATGCAAGAGTCGCAGACACAGAAAGACCAATTGGAGTACGGTCGCGGTCTTCGTGTACCTCGACCACCTAATCGCTTGGAGCTTTCCGGCCCGAAGGGAAGGCCAGCTGGCCGTCGTCGACTACAATGATTCATCTATGTGCGACCCATTGTATCTACATATGTCTGTATCAGACTTTTCGATTTGAACATCTATGTATGCTGAAATAAAAATGCACCAGTCAGGAACAATTTTTCCCGCCTATATCTCCCGCCATACTATCCCGCTCCACTCTTCGGCTTATGTTTTCGCGCAACCCTTTCCCCTCAATATTTTCCCCGCCAACGCTTTCCCTCCATATGTTCCCGCCACCCGTTTCCCGCCAACGCTTTCCCTCCATATGTCCCCGCCACTCGTTTCCCGCCATATGTTCCCGCCAACCCTTTCCCGCCATACTGCCCTCGTTCTTTCCCGCCATTTTCTCC